GTGGCTTGATATTGAGTAAGAAAAAGGTTGATAAACGCTGTGAGAATCGATCTGCGATGAGCATTTCGCCGCGATCCCAATTCGTCTATTACCAACGTTCAGGGAGCTCTATGCAAGTCAATGGGACGCCCTGCCCGTTGAAAACTGACTCTCAGGGGGTATGCTGGCCGTAATAGAGTGACGGGGAGGGGCCCTGACCGACCGTCAATATGTGACGGGTTGGGAGTGAGAACGTGTTGACATTATACAATAATACAGAAATATATTATATTCAAATTTTACAGTAATCACCTCTAAACCATTTCACTGTATTATTGTATAATGTCAACACGTTCTCACTCCCAACCCGTCACATATNGACTATGACTGGTCAAATATGTTGAATACCGGCAAAACTAAATCTCTCCAGTCAAAATGTCTATGTACTTTGCCGCCACACACGGTTGCCAAGCAGCGCTTATTGTTGTTTAGGCTGGCCACTCATGTGTCGCGAGTGTTGACAGGGGGCGAGGGAGCACGCTCATGAACTGTTAGCGCCGGAACCTCGCAACGGCTGCGGAGAACATTTGCGCCGCATTTGGGCATAAGATGAGGTTTGAGTCTGCGTGATCTGCGTGTAGGGAGGGGCAGCAGCCATAGATCTGATGGATTTGGACATAAACGCGAGTGAAGTATAACCGGACGCGAGAGAGAGAGATCAGCACCTGCCCGCTGTGAGGGACCGGTGAGCGGAGCAATACACCTTTAGACCCAACATATTTAGATATGGCACTGTCGTATACATTTAATTATTCCATTTGATCATATGTAATCAACATAGGCACCCCTCCCAAAAAAACGAAAACAAATACAATAAAAATATTCATAACTCATATTCTCACATTCGAATACCTGAATAATTTCGAATATTCGATTAATCGTTCCCATCCCTAGTGGATACCTTCCAAAGTTATAGTTGTTTTAGTTTAAAATCCTTCCTTTTGTAACTCAAAGAAAGAAAAGGTTGTTTTATGTACCATAGACACCTCTCATTCAGACTGCTTCAGATAAACTGTGGAAAACGTTTTGTCATTGTTACATTTGGAGTGGATCTCTTAATGACAGGAGTCTCACTCAGAGCAAACATGGCTTTTATTTTTCAAGGCAGACTTAAGCAACGGTGGACCTAACTTGACCTTATAGGACTGAGTAAGAGTTTTTCTTTCCAAGAGCTGAACAAATGTGCAGATGTTAGCAGAAACACTACACAACAGCTCAAAGTACAGACAACATCTTTAAAAGTGAAAATAAGTAACCAGGTCAAGTTTATACGTTTGTAAGATACAACCAGTGGTTGTTAGAAAGGTTAACAATATACTGAAACTTGTTTTTCCTGCACTGGCTTGTGTAATGCTGAGGCTTGACTTTGCGAAACATTAAGTCTATAAAAAGAAACAAAACCTGGAGGGGCGCTGCGGAGTAAAATCCCAAATGTTGTTCACTTGGCCAGCTGTGGCTTATTCTGACAACTGTTGTATAACTGTATTTACAAATGCATGCAAAGTAACAACACCTCCATGAAAAGTGTCTCTCTACTGTAAACTACACTGACTTAAGTACTGTATTTGTGTAAGTCTGCAGGTACTTGATCTTTACTTGATTATTTCTATTTCACATTACTTAATACTACACTACATTTCTGAGGCTAATGTTTAAGCTTTTTGATTTTTTGTTATAACTTGTGTTTTTCACAAGCTTTGTATGATAACTTTGGTTACTTTGCAATTGAATAATCGTGTCATCAAATCAATTATGATGTATTATTATGGATGAAACTACTCAGCAAAAATCTAAATATTCACTTGAATGAGTCAGTGTTTCATCTGATCCCAAGTGTTGACAGTTAGCAGAGGGGTATTGTGTAATCACATTTGGGAAGACATTCAATACAAAATCATTCGTCAGAAATGTGATAGTTGTCTTTTCACACATCACACTACAAAGCAATCAATTTACTGTACAAGAGTATTTCTAAGTCTTTAAAATACTTGTATACAACCAAATATGCTATATAACTAGTAGGCTAATGTTACTAAGTACATTTACTCAATTACTGTACAAGTAAAAAACTATACTTTAGTGTTTTCACATGATGCTACTTTATACTTTTACTCCATTACATTTTGTAGGCAAATGTTGCGCTTTTTAAAGATTGAGTTACTAATTACTTGTTGTAGATTTAGGCGATTAATACACGATTCAAATCCACACTTTAATAATATGTTATTAGTCAAGCAATACATTTGTGTATAAAGTAATTAAAATAAACCCCAATTTTACCAAATGCAAAATTGAAGCACAAATGCACAGATAATTAGAAACATCTGGTGTTTCTAATTGCCATTTTGCTTGACAAGTACTTTGGGTACTTAAAGTATTGTTTAATGCTTATACTTTTTTACTTTTATTTTTGTAAAATTTTGAATGCAGGACTTTTACTTGTAAGTGAGTATCTTTACACTGTAGTATTGCTACTTAAACTTAAGTTATCTGAGTACTGCTTCCACCGCTGTATAACCATGTTTAACTCGGCTAGCTAACTGACCTGTCGGTTGATGCTCACCTGACAAATGATTCGTCGAGGAACGTCAATACGTCTTCAAACGCTTGTTTTTCTCCCCCTTTAACGCTTAACATCTTAAAATAGCACCTAAATTGTACTTACTATGAGATGCTAGCTACTTTAAACAGCTAACAAGAAAGTCATGAAGCTAAACAACTTGACTATCCCGATCAAATGCCACCTATTGATACTTTTGATAGCGGTTGGAACCCCAGGAAGTGCGCCGGCCGTTGAAGCAAATTGTCGTAGTTGCCAAACGGCAGTACTACAACTTCCGTGACGTCATTGGTCCCCAAAATACTTTTTTCCCCATTGACTTCCATTGGGAAAGAGAAGTCTATAAATCAGCGGATACTTTTTTTTTTTAACAAAATTAACTACCCAGTATGAACATTTCTATTGCCGTTATTTGAATCAGTAGTTTCTAAAAGTTTTAAAATGCGCTAAGATGAAACCAGAGTTATTTTCCCTCTCCATTCATTTGACTGAGCAGAGAGGAGATCGGAGGCGAGGCTTAAGGAAAACTCTACTGCGCATGCTCTATGGGTCCAAATACGGGTACTTTGGCTCAGGCAATTTTGGCTTCATGCGTCACCGGGTAACTTCCATAGGAATGAACGGGGTCCCGCCTCCCAACGCTGTGTGCAGTTGTCTTTATACATCCATGGTTGGAACTTTAACTTTGTTGAATGCTAAGTTAGCCGCTTACCCCAACAAAACCGTACACATAAAACACGCATCGTTCACAGAAACGTAAAGATAAACTAAATTCAGTAACGTAACAATAATACATTACATGCCTGCTCCATACTTTAACAGACACTGATTTATAATTTAAAAGTACCAAGGCAACTGCTGTGGTCCTGCCAAGTGCCCACAACAAGGAGCAAATGCAGAGTTTGTCACAAGGGAAACGGACAGATGCTACGGAGCCTTAACCACTGATTTAAAGCAACTACAAGATACAACTTTAAAACGCATTACATTTACTGTACAAACGTCAATTTCTCACCTTTTAGCGGTGCGGTGTTTGGAGCCATTTTTCCTGCAGCTGCATTTTTTCCATCCACTTGCACTGAGGAGACGTCAGTTCCTGTTGAGGTGGTTGAATGGAGTTTTGGTTGAATTGCTGGTGCCTTTACTCAACGTTAAATGGGAAAGCAATGCCACCGTGTGGAATAAAGGAGTCAGTGTCGAAATATACTTAATTTTGTGAATTCTGTAGGGATACACAGAAAAGGTCAGGACAAGTTCAGCATGTTTTATGCAGTATTGCAACATTAAAACACTACTAATGATGGAAGAAGAACTGAGAAATGTTTCATCACCCTTTTTTCTCATTTTGAAAATATCTCCGTTTACAAATATGATATAATATTGTATTTTAGGAAAGCTGAGTTTTCACTTCCACATTTATTTATGTTTAAACCCACACACCCTTGACAAGATGTATGCTATATGCACAATTGCACATGCAAAAATAATCGATTAATTTAAAAAAATGCCATAGTGATGCACAACAGGTTAAGTAAAATAAGTAATACCAGCGTTTTTAAATATGCTGGTTCAAGTAACAGTCCTGCATTCAAAGTCTTACTTAAGTCAGATTGCATAAGTAAAATCTTAAATATATAATAATATAGTATGTTTATTTTTAGTGAACACAACCTTATGCTTGTGTTTGAGTGACATGATAATAGCACATTTTATAAAATATTTTATAAAAATACTGTTATACATAGTAGCTCAAGCACTCTACTTAAGTATAGTTTGGGGAGTATACTAAGTATCGTATTTTGTTGCTGTTGCTAGTCCTTTGTTATTTTTACATCGATGTTTCTTGGGGTTTTTTCTTTCACGTTTTCTGAAGTTATATTTATAATTCATGTTTACATGTCTGTATTAAATAAAATAAACAAGGACAATTTCACAAACGATGTTGGTGTCTCATTGAATGAATCATACATAAAGCTGCTTGATACAAATTGTGTAAACTTTAAGATAGGCTATAGTTTAATCCTATTAGTAATAATTTATCTCAGTTTAATTTTATACTGAATCTTTATGCTGTCGTGTACAAACCATAGTATATGTACAAACCAGACATCAACACATAATTAAGTATCAGTAATCCAGTTTCAAAATATGGATGTTTCTTACATCAAGCATTAACTCCGCCCTGTCTGAACGCCACGTACAGTTAGGCTCAACGCACCTTAAGCCACGGGTTGTCAATTTGAGACACTTTGATTGACAGGTCAAACGCCCAATCAGTTCTCAACGCGACTGTTTTACAAACAAAGTGTACTTGTTTGGACCAATCAAGAACGTAGAAGGCGGGGCGTTGCCATGGTGAATGTAACCTTTTTTTCCCCTGTAGGTTGGTTGTAGCATCGGAAAGCTCGGTGGTGGATGACATCTGTAAACAAGCTCCAGTGAAGCTGGAAACTAAACGATAAAAACGCGGTAAAGAGTGAAAAAGAAGAGCTCGAAGTAAGAATCTTGTGTTTTTATTTATAATTGACATTAACTACATTTACTGAGACTTATTTGTAGCTTTCGACAGCCATAGGATAATGAATTAACTAGCAATGCATCTTCCACAGACATACTGTTTTCTGAATGAAACGGTTAGCTTGTTTGTTTTGCCTGAAATGTGAGTTGTTTTTCCAATTAATAAGGTTATGCTAGAATAATTGTTTGAAGTAAGCTTGCTGTGCCTTTATCCACTAAACACGTGTGTTGCACAGTCCTCTGCTTGTAGCTTTTGAGATTATGGCTAACTTGCATAATCCTGTATTGTTTACAGAGAAATTTGAGAAACTCAGGGTGTTTTCTTTTGTAAGGATTAAGCACATGATTGCTTGTAAGACATTTGAGCCTCAGAAAATGTCTCATACAATTTCAAAAGCTCATTCATGTAACATTAAAAAATATATAATTTTACCAAATAAAGCATGGCAAGCTATTTATATGGCTTAAAAAAACATTAAAGCATAAAGTAATAGACCAGGAACACATCATACATTTAGATTTAAATACATACAAAAACAGTGAAGATAATATCAATAAAATAAAGCTTATATAGGTAGGCTATAAAATAAAAGAATACAAGTCACCGTAAGATGTCCATACTTTATTTATTAAAATGAAAACCTTGATTTAAAAGAAATTTTAACTCTTATTTTCTTGATTTTGTACCTAAACAGATGGTGAGGGGTAACTCTCTGGTCCACTGCGGGCTAATTCTACTGAGTTTGTGGCTGTGTATCCAGTCAGTGCCCATCAATGTGGACCGGTCCAAAGAAAAGCCTCCGGTGCAGGAACTGGAGCCCCCACAGAGCGCTGTGAGTATGGGACAATATAAACATTTCCTCTCAAAATGATCAGGCCCATAATAATTGAACTCAAGACTTGTTCCAAATAATCATCAAAATTCACTTTACATGTTGTTGAGAAACAATATGTGTATTGAATTGTGTGTTTTAAAAAAATAATCTGATGATGATAAATCATAGGGTCTCTTTGCATTAATAAAGGATACAAATTGAACAGCAATATTGTGTGACTGACCTTTTTCTGTGAGATTGTTCATCTATTTTTTTAATCAGACTGTTTCAATCAATAAATCCTCTGTCCTGATGTTATTGGGAGAGTTTTATCAGCTGTACAATCCTATAATGTCCAATCCCTAGCTGTGAGTCAGATGGACCACAATATCACATTTAAATCCAGGTCTTACACCTAAAAAAACAAAATGCTCCTTAGTCACCTAAATGAGGGAGTCCTTTAGGCTCACAGTGTCTCAGATGGCGGTTTCACATGGAAAGCAGATTATCTTCTGGGTTAAAGGTTGTCAGTGTGTTTGAGACTAAATGCACAAAACAAACAAGACCATTAGTAGCGTAGCCACCGCTCATTAGCAAGAGTGAATTGACACAAGCGTTTTCCCTGATGGCCGGTAGTCAGGTTAGATATTAACAAGGTAACTGCAGCTTTTGGTCCTCTACCAACAAACGCTGATGTGTGCTCTGCTTTTCTTCAGGAGACTGGGCTGCACTACGACCGCTACCTCAGGGAAGTCATCGAGTTCCTGGAGAAAGACCCCCACTTTAAAGAGAAGCTCAAAAATGCCAACATGGATGACATCAAGGTATGTCTTGCACACTCACTGGACATGCCGTTATTTTGCAAGCTCTTTGTTGACATGAACATTTCGTAATTGAACCGTGGTGTGTTGATGTTCTGCTTGCAGCAAGGCAAACTTGCCAAAGAGCTGAACTTTGTCCAACACAATTTCCGTACGAAGCTGGACGAGCTGAAGAGGGAGGAGATGAACCGGCTGCGGATGCTCATCAAAGTCAAACACGACATTCAGGGAGGGAGCGGTGAGTCTGATGTGTCCTTTGCAAACTTGTGCTTTCGGAAGTTTCTCAACAAATGTTGTAATACTATAAACGTCAGGGTCATTGAAGACAGGATGCAACTCTTAGAAAGAGGAACATGATGTAATACCAGCAGTAACTTGTATTGGGTATTGAGTTCTCTAAATTTAGTTTAAATACACTTTAAGACCAGAAGCACAAGCTGAAGTTACATCCCACATACTTACACAAAAACCCTTTGCTCATTGTACTTTTGTTGAAATCTGAGCTGAAACTTAAGTAAACAAAGCCAGTGCTTGTACAGCTGTGTGTCGGAAAAACGACTCAAGCACAAAATGTGTGTGTAAAGGTCAGGAAAAGAGTGTTTGCAATGACAACATATCTCTTTTTGAAGTCTAAAATCAGTTATACATCTGTTTCATATTTGAAGTTCCTACTTAAGTTTTCTTCTATTAGTACTCCATACTGCTTCAGTTCATGTTTCTCCCTCTTCACAGCCAGCAGGCACACGGCCTTGGGGCTATGGCATGGTAGTGTACGGAGATGAGCTGTTTCTCAGACTCTCTTCATCAGCTGTGTTAAGAGATGCCCTCCTTCTTACTTACTGTATATGCATGAAGCAAGGTTGTCGACACGCTCTGCTTCAGGCAATGATAGGACTGAATTACCAGGAGTAAGAAAGTTACATTATCTGACTGTGGCTTCTCTGCAAGAATCCAACTGGTTGTGTCTTACTGATTGAACGTTTGATAACCAGCTTTGTGTTGCTGAAAGGAGATAGAACCACAGAGTTGGTTTGGGCAGAGGATCTGTCACTACAGTGTCTTAGCTATTGTCGATTCTCCAACTGGAATTGAAGTCTTCAGTGTCTGACATGAGTTTGAAGCTCTCCTTCTGGTTCTTTGCTCCAAGAGTTTCATCCCACCTACAAGCTCAAAACTCTGGGTCTATTAAGGTTAAATAAAATGTTCATTCTCCCCTCCTTGCAGGCCGGACCGTGGACCACCAGTCTCTGCTGAAGCAGTTTGAGCACCTCAGCCACCAGAACCCCAACACCTTCGAGGTGGAAGACCTGGACCAGCTCATCCAATCGGTACAGAACACCTAAAGCACCTGAGCACAGTCACCAAATAGACCTTTCCTGTAGTAGGTCTGACTCTTCAGCTGTTACACTTGCAGCTCCTCATTCGTTGTTTAGCGTTTGTGTAACCAGGGTGGTCACAGAGTTTTAACAGTCAACAAAACAGCACTTGGATTAGAGTAACATACAAAATAATCTTCTTCTGTACACGGATAAACTGGACACTTGTTCAGGGTTAATACATTTGGCTTGTTGAGATCAGTGTGTAGATGTAGTTGTTGCATACAATCTAAAAACTTTCAACAACAAAACACAATAATGTCCTGCAACGGTGATCGTAATTGTATATCACAGAAAGAGAAAAAAGAGAAAATCATTAGGTGAGGTCGATCATCATGACGCAGCATTCCCAGATGTGAAGAGCATGGATTTGTTTTGCCTTAGTAAACATCTAACACAGCCAAAATAAAGCAATGACTCATTCCAGAGGACTCCGGTTGTGGCTTCAGAGCATATTTGCTGCTCCAGTAGCACAAATAGGGTAACGTTTCACCACAGACTCCAACAGACACACACAGCAGCCACACACACTCTCGTTATCGTTCTGATTGCTTCATCTAGTTGGAGTGAGTGTTTATTCTTTGGATAGATAAAACTATCTAGCTCACCGTGAGCATGCTCCCTTCACTGTGTGTGGATACTGTAGATCTGCTGCTTACAGTATATGTACCTGCATCACAGTCATACCTATAATCACAGTTTGCCTCATACTATTGCTATAATTAGGATGATGAGACGAGAGAATTACAGGTGTGTACAGTGAGCTGTGATTCTCACGAGTCAGCTACATTAACAGGTCTGGCATTTCTCGATTTGAAGTGTATCAATATGTCCTTTTGTTGGAGAGCACAGAGAGAGAACATCTTCTGTGACCTGTCAGGTGTTTCTGGTTTTACACTGGACATGTCATGAATCATCTCTTTCATTTCGTCTGTAGGCGACCAAAGACCTGGAGAACTTCGACAAGGACCGCCACGATGAGTTCAAGAATTACGAGTTGACGAAGGAGCACGAGAGGAGGGAACGTCTGAAGACCATGAGCGAGGAGACTCGCCAGCAGGAGGAGAAGCACTACGAGCAGCTGAGGAAGAAACACGCTGACCATGCAAAAGTGAACCATCCGGTAAGACTCTGATGTATGGGAGTTAAATAATGCCAGTTGTGGAATATAACTAAAAGCAATGTCCTTGAGAGCAATTTAGACAGACTTATACTGCATTTGTATTGTCATTCATTATAGATACTATACAACTTATCTACCCCAGTAGTACACAAAGTATCTAGAAGTGTGTCCCATTGACATAATACCCTAAACAGCTCTTACTCTGAGTACTTCTTTCACCACTGGCTAACGCTAATAGACATTACAACTTATTTCAATGTAGGAGTAGAAATACTTTCACCAGTTACCAGATGGTCCTTTCAATTTCAAGGATTACTCCATACTTTTGGGAAACGTGTTTGTATTTTGCTCAGTATAAATAAAAACAGAAGCACGTTTAAGAGGGGAAGTGTGCTTAAAGAAGAATCTAACACTTCTATGTTGTGTGTGTGTGTGTGTGTGTGTGTGTGTGTGTGTGTGTGTGTGTGTGTGTGTGTGTGTGTGTGTGTGTGTGTGTGTGTGTGTGTGTGTGTGCAGGGCAGTGAAACCCAGCTGAAGGAGGTGTGGCAGGAGTCGGATGGTATGGACCCAGATAACTTTGACCCCAAGACCTTCTTCAAAATGCACGGTAACCACAGACCATGTGTCCAAAATACCAAGAACCATTTTCAGTTATCAGAAGATTCCCTTCTTTTCTCTCGCAATAAACGGCCAAGTTTGAAGTCGTTCATTTTGTGTTGCAGACACTAATGGAGATAGCTTCTTCGATGAGAGCGAGCTTGAAGCTCTCTTCACGAAAGAGGTATTTCTTCTAATGTACTTTATATTCCAACCTTTGTTCGGCAAGTTCCGACTTTGAGGTAAAATGTGCATCCGTGTGTGTCTTCAAGCTGGAGAAGGTGTACAACCCAGAGAACGAGGAAGACGACATGGTTGAGATGGAGGAGGAGAGGTTGCGAATGAGAGAGCACGTTATGAATGAGGTGAGCCGAACACACAGACAGATATGAAGCCTCTTTCATTTTTGTTATTCATACAACAATCATCAACCTTGATCAGGCCGAACATTCAAACACAAAGCATTCAGACTCTTTCTACAGTTTTAAGTACATTGCCCCTTTCACATTTGGTAAAAAGTGCAGTATTAGTACCGGCTGTACTTTTATGAAAGCCAAATACTTCAAATGTTGGTCTATTTGACATTGAAAACACTGACAAATTATAAATAATTTAAGATTAGCATACTGTAAGTACATGATATGAAAGGTTGGAGCCTGATA